CCCCAAAACCCCAAAACCCCAAAACCCCTATCCATAATAATCTTATTGAATAAATAAAATTCATCAAGAAAGTTGACATGTCTGTTAGGTATGAGTCTACAGCGAGATTTGTGATAGAACTGGTTTTGAATCTCAGCGTAGCAAGCTGGATTAACATTTGGTATGGAAGTATGGCTAAGACTGAAGATACAATTGCACTACTTATTGCAGTAACTACTATTCTTGGTCTACTAGCTCTTACAGTATACTCTATCGTATATCCAGCATACTATTTCCGAGACATCAAAGGTAAGGTTGCACATTAATATCTACAGAGAATCCTCAGAAGCATGAGCGACACTGTTTGTTCTTTCTGGACTTCAAGAACGATGCTATCAAGCAGTGATTATTTTTCGAATTTTTCATGATTAGAAGACTTTTATTTACATTTGTGATTGTTTGCATTAAAGAGCATCCCTCTAAGCAGCTGATTCTCTGCATTTTCATGTTCTCATAGCAATTTATGTACTGTGTGGTTCATAGACCCTATAAAGACTGCATTAACAACATTCTGAATGTGTTCAACGAATGAATTTTGATTATTTTTGCCTACCTGCTCTATCTCTTCATTGGGACAAATGGCTCTGAAAGAATAACAAGGGTTAGATGGGCATGTATCGGAGTGATTATCATCTTTTTCTTAGCAAACTTGAGTATTATATTCCCACATATGATTGATTCGACTGTTAAGTTATGAAAAAAGAAAAAGAAAATAAGAAGAATTTATCGGTACTTGACGAAGGAGGTGAGTGTTTTGGATCAGTTTATAGGGCCTTTGAGTCGTCATGCCAGAGATCCATTCAGTAGAGTCTTTAAAAAGCCTGGTAATGATAGATTAGAGACAAGTTTAAAACTTTGTGTTTTAAATATCTTGAGTTTTTACTCATTTCTAGAATTTTCGTTGGCAAAGCTAAAAGAGAATATCAAAAAGGCGCAAGAAAAAATATCTAATCGAGAAGAAATATCCATTAGAAAGGCCCCAAGAATAGACAAAAGGAATGAGTCAGACCTAGGCTTAGCCAAGATTGCTATGACTTCCATTTCAACCCCTCTTGCTAAGAAATGGCCAATCAAAAAGACAAAGAATCTGCCTTCCCAAGGGCAAAATCAGTCTTCAGTTTTTGGAAATTTCTAAGAGTTTTAACAAAACTAGGTTTGATTTGTTAATTAAGAGTTTTATCTTAGATATGGTTGGATGAATGTCTGAATATAATACAACACGACTAATCTCTGCTGCCATCTCCCTATAACCCTTATGCCACATCTACTAAAATCAACCAAACTCCTTATTCAATCCATCATAAACATCCTGGGGTTTTGGGGTTTTGGGGTTTTGGGGTTTTGGGG